TTTGCATCCCCCATTTCCAGCTAAAAGTCCTGTCTCGACAAAATCCATACGCTTGGCAAAAAGGTTCCCTCTTGGTGTTGTCAAAGCCATCCACAGTGAGACCAGGAATCACAATTTTGTTCCTTAAAATGAGCAAGAAATTATTTTTTAATTTTTAAAAACCATAATGGAAGATGTATCAAGCGGGAATGGAAATGGCAGAGTACCGAGGTCGTGACAAAGGCCCCTGCAGGCGGAGAGAAGGCTCGTGGGTGCGCGCCAGCAGCCCGTGCCAGGCGATGCCCGCCAGTTCATTGCCCACAGGACATAGAAGTGAGCGGCGAGCCTGTCGTCCATCGGCAGGTTTTCAGTATTCACAGCCGCGTTCCGATTTCCCACTGTTTGAGGAGGAAAGAAAATACCACTTATTAAAATGCACTCGAGCCTGATCAGGCCCAGCACGTCCTGGGTCCGTGGTCAGCTGTTTCCCGTAGCTGCTTGCTGGCGTGGACCACGTGTTTTCCAGGCGTGCTTAGAATGGGCAGAGGCTTAATAGCTATCTTATCAAATGAATGAGTGGGTGGGGTTTTCAAATAGCCTTCTGAAATTTCTTTTTTCATCAATTATGGAAGTAAATGAGGGGAAATCAGATGACCAGAGAATATATTAAAATATATATTTCTAACCCTCGCTCTGTTTCTAACCCTCACTCCTCTCAGAAGGAGATGTTCCCACGTGCCTGGCCCCCGCTGTTCCAGGGACAGCGTGTGGCTGGCTTCCCGGGCCTGCCCTGAAGCCGGAGGGGGGATGGGGCTTTGGGCCCCTCAAACCTGGTTCGGGCTCAGGCTCTGCCGTCTCCTTCCTGGGAGGTTGTGGGAACGTTGGTTAACCTCTCCGCCCCCTCTCTTCATCGGAATTAGTGAAAGAAACTGAAAAGACTTCTCTGACAGGTCGTATATGTAAGGCCCTTGGAATGCATTCCTTCGAGAAATATTTATTGAGTGCCTGCTGTGTGCTGGGCACGGTTTAGTGAACAAAACAGAGAAATGTGTGCTTTTAGTGGGAAGAAAGACAAGAAGCAAATACGGGGTAATAAGAGCCAGGAAGGTCGTGCAGCAGGACAGGAGGGGAGGCTGGTCAGGCCAGGAAGCACTCAGGACATTCAGAGTCTGAGCCACCTGGAGGAAGGGAGCAGGAGGTGGAGGCTAACAGGCAGAGCGTGACCCAGGAGGGAGAGAGGCCAGTGCCCCTCCTGCCCAGCAGGGGGAGCAGCAGAGTAAGTGGCCGCCACTGAAGTTTCAGGAGCCTGGAGGTCACATGCAGAGGTTTTTAGGAAGGGCTTGGTAAATCTTTCCTCGTTCTTCTTGTTCTTTTTTCTTTCCTGTTTCATCTGAACTGTTTCTGATGAATCCCAGTGCGAGTCATTTTAGCCTCACTCTGTTCTCCGCCTGCTGAGCCAGCAGGAGAGGTTATGCCGGCTTTAATCAATATGCCTACAAATTAGTGCTGGACCCCGAGAAAGTGCTTTGAAATTCTGGAAAGTTATACAGATCTGGAATGACTATTATTATGGGAGTAACAACCCCTGAGCCTCCTGGTGCCTTGGTCCAGGGACGCAGGTCGAGCACCCACTCCATTTTCTCATATTCCTGGCTCGGCACTGGCTGTGCCGGCTGCTCAGATTGTCAGAAATTGTGTGGGATTTTTTTTTTTTTTTTGGCTCCTCAAAGTCACACTTGGGGTGATGGTCATTTGCCAGCTGTCTTGGGGGAGAACAAGCACTGTGCTTAGGCAGGCTGTGTCTGTGTCCCTGAAGTTCATGTGGAGGCGGCAAAGTCCATCCCTTGGGAATCCAATCATGAAATGGCTCAAACCGTATCAAGCCCTTATCCTCAAGGCTTTCGGGCGCTGTGCTGTGAGTGGTGCTGTGTGGTTCCCCTGAATGAGTGAACACTGAACTGGAGTATTTTTTTCCTTTTAAGTTTTCTGTCTGTATTGGTTGTATCTGTCGGTAAGGCTGTTCAGAAACACTGGAGTAACCTGGATTTGGGACAAAAAAGAAACCGTCTAGTTAACCCTCTGCCACATTCAGAGGTGAATGTGTCTAGAAAATCCTTAGGTTTTTCAAAGAGATTTCTCCTTCGGTTCAGAAACTTGAAACCTCTTATTATGCTTCATCAGCTTAAGCTTGGAAGTCCTTCCTTGCGTCTGGCTCCGACCTCCGCCTGCAGTTCCAGTGCCTTTCTTCTTGGTCTGAGCAGATGGAAAACAGCTGCCAACCTGCCCAGAACAGCCCCATGGGCTGGAAGATGGTGATTAAGTCGCTCCCTCGCCATCTTTCCTCTGGACTAAATAGTGCCTTTACCCATCTTCAAAGTTCCCATTTGCCAGTCCTTTAATCATCTCTCGGTCTTCCCTAAGCTTTTCCACATCCTCCTTGACACGTGGATGCCAAACTGGAGCATGGCATTCCCCAGAGAGCCCGTTCCCTGGGATGGCTGCCTTCAGGGCAGTGGGTGCCTGTCGTCCACCTGGGAATCCAAACAGACGCGCTGCAGGACCGACAGTCCCTTTTACAGCGGCCGGGCCTGGGTGTGGGTCAGCCGCTGGTGAGGAGTCTGAGGCCGCTGACAGCCCAGACTCCAGGTCTGTTCTAAGCAGAGCGGCAGTCCCATGGCCCGTCTCCTCCTTCGGGATCTGGCATCCAGTGTGTTTCCTCGCAGGCGACACTCTCCTGACAGGGCTCTCCTGGTTTCCATGTCTACGTCAGACGCACGTGTGAGGAACCTGAAATCCCTTGGCTCTCACTTCCGCCCGGACAGCTGGCTTTGGAGCCGATGGGCACAGGACAAGGGGCTTGTTTTCTGTGTCGAATCTCATTGAAACCCCAGAGAAGGAAGATCTCGAAAACTGTCCAGAGAGCACAAGAAGGTGGACAGGAGGTGAAGTTGCTCATCGCTGAGACTGAGAACTGATGCGTGTCACTGAAATCGTCTCAAACACGCGCCGTCTCTGTGGTTCAGGGCTTCGCTTGGTCATACTGTGACGTCTCCCAACCTCCCCGCCCTCTGTTTTTTCTAAAAACTTGGGGTGCTTGGGTGGAAAAGTTGCTGGCGTGGGGATTTTGAGAATCATGAGTGTCAGTGGGCTTCCGGTCACGCCCAGCCCGGGCACTCAGACGCTTCAGTCCATGGTCAGCTCCTGCAGGAAGCAGACAGGCTACATAGGCCAGCGTGTGACCTTGAACATTTGCAGGCGGGAGGTCAAGAACGAGTGTTGACCAGAATGATTTCGTGGCAAGGCTCCACGTAGGCAAAGCCTGAATTAATGTGGCTATGCACACACCACAGGGTCTATGTAAATTATACGTGTGACCAAGAGATGTGCTGATAAATCTGTGATGTGAAATCCTGGCTACATTTTCTGTCTTCAGATGTGGGGGCTCACTGAGCTGTGTCTCGAGGGTGGTAGTTGTCCTTGTACTTGAGAGAAGTTCTGTACATTTCACGTTGCAACCAAAACTTGTGGATATCTGGGACACCAGGTTGGGGTGATTGTTGACTGGGGCCATTCTGAATGAATGAGTGGATGAATGAATGAGATGTACTCCACTACATTTCACAGCAGGATGCGGTATTGGAAGTGCCGACTCTTTGGCCTGGATGTGCATGGGGTCCAGAAAGGTGCATTTCCATGGGCCGTGCCCACTCCTCATTTAAAGGTGGATTTTCCTGGTTCCATTCTGATTAATCACCAATATAGTATTTATGTACAGCTAACCGACATTTAGTAGACCACCAAAAATTTTTTCTTTTTTAATGAGATTCAGAATCCTGATTGTCCGAATAAGACTATCACATTTGGCCCTGGCCAAGTATCAGTTGGTTAGAGCATCGGCCCAGTGTGCCCAGGCTGCGGGTTCACTCCTCACTCGGAGTACATGCAAGAATCAGCCAATGAACGCAGAAATAAGTGGAACAACAAACTGAAGGGGGGGAAAGACTTTTATCAAATTTGCTGCCTGAAACCGCATGCTTGCCCCGCAGGGCACTGGCCTGGCAGGCGGGGGGGAAGGTGCAGCAGGTAACGACTCCGTTTTCTCTGTTCCAGGCTAACAGGCAGCCAGCCAAGCTGAACCTTCTCACCTGCCAGGTGAAGCCGAACGCCGAGGACAAGAAGTCTTTTGACCTGATTTCACGTGAGTCCCTCTTCTCTCCGGGTCAGTTACTGTGGATCCTGATGTTGCCCATTTCCATTCCCAAGGACTGGTGCGTGCGAGGCTCTTGGCAGGGCACCTGAGCTGGATTCTGTAGCACCTATTGAAGTTCGGAGCCCCTCTGATTTTATGACCGAGAGGTTTCTTGGGTTATTAGTGAGAAGTTAGATTTATAAGATGACTTCAAAAAGCCTAGACCTCTCCATTTCAGAACCTGTAGGTGATTGACCAGTTACTGAGCATCCAGTGTGTGCTGGGTGCTTTCTATATGTTATTGCCAATCCTCACAAAAGCCCCATTGGTGTCCTGTTTGACAGAAAACAGGCTCAGAGAGGTTCAGTTACTTATACAAGGTCACACAGCATTAAAGCAGAGATTCAGTTGAGACTCTTGGGCTCTACTGCCCATAGCGTGTTCTTGGGCATAAACACCATCTCCAGGAGACGGGGGTGTGAATGCCCAGCCTGGAGCGGCCACACAGTGCGTGGCTGGCTAGCTAAGTGAAGGTTAGTTTGACCTGACTGTGTTGAAGCGTTCTAGTGGATTCTGAATTTTAAGCAAGAGCTTCCCTTATATACACCTGCCCAGGCTATCAAAGTTAGGCCACTCCCTCCTTCCCTGGGCAGCGGCCTGAAGGTGACCGTCGAGCAAGGTCAGGCCTTCTTTCTTGAAGCTGATCCTCGCAGAGAGCAGCCCAGCGGGGCAGCTTTTTGACTGAGCCCTGCTGTCAGAGCTGCCCTGCAAGTTAAGAACTATTTCCGAAAAGGAAAGTCTTTTTTAAAGGAAACACAATAAAAGGCAAGTTGAGAATGAAAAGTAAAATACTGCCTTGGCAGCTGGCACTCCGCAGCTGTCGCTGAAACCCGCTCGAGCAGGTAGGACCATCCCCCTCCCACTTCTTTTTCCTAAGTGCCAGGTATCGGCGTGGTATTGGCAGCTATTTTATTGCCTTCCTGGGCACTTTAGAAAAATAGTATTGACAACATGAACTGTGTAACTGCTAAAACAAAGTGGCGTAAAAACAAAATAATTTTAAAACCCTACTTTTACTTTGGGTTTTTGTTTGTTTTTAGGAACTTGGAAAATTTACATTAGACCTGAAGGTATTCTGCTCTCTAAGGTTTCACGTTCTTTTCTCTTTTGTATTTTAGATAATAGGACGTATCACTTCCAGGCAGAAGATGAGCAGGATTACGTAGCGTAAGTAGTTTTGAGCTAATGGCACCACGCGCCTCCGTCCTGTACCACATGCGTAAGGATCTCCGTCATGACTCAGCACCGCCCCTGGCGGTTCCCCACGCTAGCTTCTCCCCTCTGGGCCAGCCCACGCCGCTCTCTCTGTTCTTCATTCGCCTCCAAGTTACACGGAGGAAAGTGTCCAGTAAAACTGAACAAAGAAATCACTTCTCACCGAGGAAGGAGGCAGGGGCAGTAAAAAGAGCAGCTGCGTGTTCGAGGCGGGCCAGCCTGACCCCTGGTCCCAGTTCTGCCCTTTTGAAAGTGTTAAAATACAATCATGCATTCTTCTTTTTCTTGCATTTTTTATGCCTGTTACTCTAAAATAATCTAAAGGTTTTTTTTCTTTAATTGTCAGAAATAGCTGTTTTGATTCTCCACCCTTTTGAAATGCAGCCATTCCATTGCACCAAATTTGAATTGTTCTTCCAGAGAATTCATTGTCCTTTATATTCGTATTTTCTGATTTTCATGACAGACTTCTTTATTTCCTTACTTGTCATGAGCTCTTGAATAAAGATGCAAAAATGGCATAATGGAAGGAACTCTGAGAAAGGGAGCCATTAGAAGCGGTTTTTGTCCCAGTCGGACACCAGTCCACTGTGGACCCGGGCAAATGGGTTAGCCTCTCCGGGCTTCACGTTCCTCATGTGTGAGGTGTTGGAGGCCCTGGGAGGCGGGATGGAGGATTGCGTTTAAAAAATTCTAAGTACTTGGCACATAGTAGGTGTTTGTAATAATGAATAGGCAGGACATCAGAAGGCTTAAGGAAAGCAAAACGGAGACCCTGCAGCCAGTGAAAACTTCAGTAAGCTCAGTGCCAAAGAGAACATGTGGTGTCCGGTCTCTTAAACTATTTTTAACAAATCAATTTGTAGTTTTTAACTTGAGACGAAACGATAGAAAATATGCAGTTTAATTTAAAAGGTATTAAGTGACATCCCCCCCACACACACCCCGTCCCTAGAGTGTTGGTTTTGAGGTGTAGTTTTCCACATCACAGTAGAAAAGCTAAAGCTGTGCAAATGCATTTCTCACAACAAACTTAAGGTGAGCGCCACCTGGAGTCAAAGGTATGAATTGCACCTCAGGGACTCCATGTAGTTTGGTTTGTCCTTTCCTTCCCTCCCATTGCTGTCTCTGTGACTAATTCAAATCCTTTTGTAGATAGTCCTTTGTTTCATATCCATTTGATCCTACAAGACACCAAAAAAAATACAGACTCCGTTCTGGACCTCTGTATTCTCTGCTGAGAATAGATATTACCTGACTCTGCAGTCGGTGAGAACAAACTGTGATTGGGAAATGTTTTTTCTTTTCTTCTTAAAAAATAAATGTGGCTCTTTTTCCTCATCCATGAAAGTGATACAAGCTCCCTATAGATGGAAAATTACAGGAAGGCACAGAGCCAGGCAATCCATCTCTCCATTTTCCTACAGAAGGTCACTCAGGGACAAGCGGTATTAACATTTTATGAATTTCTTTCTAGCCATTTTTCCCCCAAACAAAAATATATAATCCATACGTACATTTAAATTTGGGGTTATATCATGCAACAGTTTTTCCTGTTTATTTCACAAAATATTATATTGTGAGCATTTCCCCAAAGTCATTAAAAATTAGAAAAGATTAAATTTCAGTAGCTGGGTTATTTCTGGCCTTAATCAGCCCCTGTTGTTGGGCATTTAGGTTATCATATGCACAGGTTGGTGGCAAATGTGTTTTGTCCAAGACATACTGTGATCGTACTGTATATGTCATTTAATAGCCTTCACTTTTTGTTTTATATTAAAATGCCAGCATGTTTCCATATTAATATACCTTTTTCATAGCATAAATTTTCTTTTTTTTTTCTAATTTTTATTTATTTATTTTAGAGAGGGGGACAGCGGGAGAGAAACATTGATTGGCTGTTCCACCCATTTACACATTCATTGGTTGATTCCTGTATGTGCCCTGACCGGGGATCGAACCACAACCGTGGTGTATGGGGATGGTGCTCTAACCACCTGAGCCACGTGGCCCGGGCTTCTGAGCATAAATTTTCTCGACTTCTAATGAAATATCCTGTTTGTTTCCACGTCAAGGGCCTCACTGAGTTGGCCTCCAGAGGACTGATGCCTTTTGCTGAGCTCTTTCCT